CGAGCTCGGCGCTCGGTCCCCTCCCGGGCCGCCGCGAGCCGGATGCCATCCCTTCCAGGCCACTGAGCTCGGGGACGAGGGCTGGCCAGGTTCGGGGGCCGGAGGACGGCGCACGGCCCCTGGGTGTGCACGCTTGTGTGCGCGCGCGCTGTGCTAGGTGGGGAAGAGGTGCCGAAAAGCTGCCTCCCTCGGAATTCACTCCCTTGGGGCTCCCTGCCGCCACCCCAACCCTCTTCGGACGAGCTGACCACCCGAGCGGCTTGGGAAGACTGCGCCTCCCCCTACCCTCGCCTGCAGTCTCGCTGGTGTGTGCGGTTCGCCCCCCTTTTCGCGATCCCCACCCAGCCACCATCAGGACGCCCCTGCTCCGGGCCCGCGGGACTGTAGGAACCTTGGGGGCGGGGGAGAGGGGTGGCAGGACCAGCCGGGGCGTGTGCGGGGAAGGCAGGAGTTGCTCGAGTATTGTCTGCCGGGGCGGGTGCCTGAGTCCGCGCGCTCCCCTCGCGCTTTCAGGGCCAGAGGTGGTGGTGTTGGGGGGAAGGGGGGGGCGGGAAATGGGTTTGCTGAACTTATCTTCGGAGGCTGACTGCGTACACGCACTTGGCGCCTTGTGCACGTTTGGACCAGGGCTTAATGGAGGCACGTGGGAGCAGGCTTGGTCGCTGGCGGGCCCCCAAAAGAGCCTCTTGGGATGGCCCAGCGCGCGTTCGGGGTTGGGAAGGAAGGGAGAGTGTGAGTGTGAGTGTGTGTGAATGTCCGTCCTAGGGAGGCGGAGGAGGAGCGTGGCTCAAGGAGACTTCATATTCCTGGATTTGCTGCAGTTCCTTAAACCCAGCCAGGCTTTCGGGGCGTTAAAGTAAATTACTGGTAAGTGGGGACGGGTCCCTGGTGGGGCTAAAACGGCCCCCAGGTTGGTCGGGTAGCGGGTTCGGCAGGCCTGCTGGCTGGGTGGCTTCTGGCCCTCCCTCGCCTAGGGGGTGGGGGTGGGGGGTAGGGGGTGCTGCATGTTGTTTTTGGCTTAAGGTGCTGGAGCTGGGACACTTGTCCTGGGTAGACTGTGGGACTAGGAGGAGGCCAACAGCTGTGCGGTGCTGTCTGTTACTCTCAGTTAACTCTGAAATCTCAGTGTCTGTCTGTCTCTGTTTCTTCCTCTTTCTCTCTCTCTCTCTCTCTCACACACACACACACACACACCACCCTGGCGTAGTCTGCTTGTCTGTCTGTCTCTGTCTCTCACTCACATCCACACCGCACCACACACAGCCTGGTTTGATCTGTTATTCTAAATTAACTCTAGAATCTCAGTGTGTGTGTCTGTCTGTCTCTCCTCCCCTCTCCACACATCCCTCTCATCTCATGGTTGCTTTGACTGGTAGTTGTTGCTCATGGATTTTTATTCATCTACGTTTAAAATTTTTTTTTAAGATGGAGGTACTGGGAATTGAACCCAGGACCTCACACATGCTAAGCATGAGCTCTACCACTGAGCTCTACCCACCCCCCATTTTTTTAAGATAAAATACCTACCCGTATTAAAATCTGTGGGGTGTCAGAAAGACCTTTCAGCACTCACCCACATTCAAATCAAGAATAGGGCCTTATGATGAAAATGCCCCACCTAATTGCTGTTTAGATTGGACAAAGCTCTAATTGGTGTTAGCATTAATATTATTTTAAATAGACATTTTACCACCATGTGACAAAGTCATCTTTGCCTAGATCTTTCCCTCTTTTTGTCTTTGCAGCAATTTACAGAATTCTTAATTACCCGATTAACAAAATCGTCAAGTTGTCTTCTAATTTTAAAGGAAGGGTCTTGAAATGCGTTGTAGGTTGGCGTGAAAATGGTTCTGTGACTCCGTCTCTTTAATGACCTGATCAGAGTGGTGTTGATCTGAGACTTATCTATGGTTCAATTTCTAGATAATTTTATCAAACCATTGCGGGAGAGGGACACCTCACCAGTTTTCCACACAGAGGAGAAGGAACACTTTGATCTCTTGGAGCAAATATTTTGCCACTTTGCCTCCAATTGTCCCTGACAGATGCCTAGGAAAGATTCGTGGTTGATGAATAATACATGGCTTATTTCGCTTTTACGTCTACAGGTGGCAGTGTAGAAGCCAAGACGGGAGCTTCCAGAAGTGGCTTCCGAAAAATAAGAGTGAATATACCCGAGTAAGCAAGCACAGGGGTCTGAAAAACCACAGGTATGTAGAGCAATTAATCCATCTATCCAGCTTTATAATGATTGCATTCCAGAATCTTGACATTTACATAGACTTTTATGAAGTGTAATGTATCTTGAGGTCTTCTCAAAGGAGAAAACAAGTGTATTTTATTTCAGACAGTGTATTTAAATACAAATACTGCTTGTTATTAAACTGCATTACTTTTGACTGCTCGAAAACAGAGGTGCCCACGTGCCTTTGCATTTAACCCGTTGTTTCTTGGTCCCTGCTTTTAAAGGCACTTCCCCGGAAACTGTATAAAACTGCCAGTTTTATTGTTCTGAATAAATTACTTTGGGACACTGTTACCAAAATCACTGGGTTGAGCCAGCAGAATGGTATTTGCTTTTTCCAAAAACGGTGTCTCACTGTTGACTGCACATCTCACTTATCAGAATACCGATGCATTAGGCGGCCTCTTTTAAACCAGCCCTTCTGTTTTTAATGCATTTTGTCATTCTTCCCTACCTTGCTGCTTTTCCAAGCCCAGCGTGTCAGAGATACCTTCCTAATTCGCCCACTTGACTCAGCTAACGGCGGGGTTAATATGGGATCAAAGACAATCAAGGTCTCAATTTCAGAAAGTGTTTCCTTGTGACGCAATTCAAAAGAATTTGCCTTGGGTCATCATTAAATGACAAAGTTTGGCCTATTAAAACCCTTTTTCACCCACTGGCTAGCATACTATTATGAATAGTAAAAGAAGCCAGAGCAGAGGGCAGAGTTCACCTTTGTGGATTTTTATTTTCTTTCCTTAAATTTGTGGGCCAGAGCTAATGGTGCCTTTTTTTTCACAGGGAAAGTAAAGTTACTATGATGGTGGTTGTGCATGGGCGGCGGGGATCAAAATGGCAGTTACGAGAATGAAGCTTTCTCTTTCCTGGGGTGGGGGGGGGTGTATGCCTTCATGCATTGCCAGAACGTGGTGATACCTTGTGATTTTTTGACATTCTGCCTTTACAGCTGTGGAGGGGTTTGTTTAGCCCCTGCCAGTGAGAGTGTCAAACAAATCAGATACTGTTTTTGACGCTTAACTTAAAGATCAAATGGGACACTTTACCAATAGAAAGCACGCTGGGGGCTCTAAAGACTGAAAGGGTTGTTTACTGGAAAGATCGCATGGAGATGGAGTGGCTTCAGGAAAGCCCACAGACCTTTAGGAACACGGGAATTTGCACGGGAATTTGTGGGATTTGAATTCATTATCTGACTCAGTAAACTGGGCAGTAACTCATCCTCGCCCCGTGGGTCTAAGAGGAGTAGGGTCTAATCCAAGTTAGAAAGAAAAAGCACAGCGTTGAGATTTTATTCCTTTTTGGAATTAGAGCATTCTCATGATAGAGACACCAGGTGCTTTAGAGATGTTTTATTTTATTTTTGAGATATAACATATACACAATAAAGTGTACAAAATGCAATCATCTAAAGTGTACTGCTCAATGAATTTTTACATGTGTATATACCCATGGGACCCCTACCCAGGTCAAGATAGAGAACATTTCCAGCACCCCAGAAGAGTTCTTCCTCTTTCCCCTTCTGGTCAGTTTTCATCCCACTGCCAAGCTGAAGGCAACCACATTGTGATTTTGTTTTCACATTGTGATTTTGTTTTCACATTGTGATTTTTACAAACTCCAGCCACTAGTTTAATCTGCTGTTAACCCCCATATAAATAATATCACATGGAAGGGACTCTTGTGTGTGTGTGTCTTTTTTTACAGAACATAATGTCTTTGAGATTCATCCATGTTATGCGTATTTGTAGTTCGTTCTCACCTATTGTTGAGTAGTAATTCCATTCTATGGACATACCACAATGTGTTTAACCATTCTGTTGGTTTGTTGGATTATTTCCAGTGTTTGGCTAAAATGAGTAAAGGCTCTATGAGTATTCTTGTGGCTTTTGGTGCACACACTTACTTCTTTTGAGCATATACCTAGGAATGGAATTGCCTGCTCACAGAGAAGACTTATATTTAGCTTTAACAGATACTGCCAAACAGTTTTCCAAGAGGGTTGTAACAATTTAAATTCCGTCGGTAGTGTACCAGGGTTCCAGTTGCTCCACATTTTCACTAACACTTAGTTTTATCAGTCTTTTTTAATTTTAGCTAGTTTTGTGGGGGCATAGTGCTACCTCCTTGTGGGTCTTTAAACTTTTTAAAAATTTAAAATTGTGGCAAAATAGACGTAACGTAAATTTACCATTGTAACCATTTAACAATGTACGCTTATTGGTATTAAGTACATTTACATTGTGGTGAAGCCATTACCTCCATCCATCTCCAGAACTCCTTTTGTCTTGCAAAACTGAAACTGTTCCCATTGAACAATCACTCTCCATTATCTCTTCCCCCAGCCTCCGGCGACCACCATTCCACTTTCTATCTATAAATTTGACTACTTTAAGTTCCTCATATGGGTAGGATCATAGAATATTTGTTCTTTGATAACTAGTTTATTTCACTTAGCATAATATCCTTAAGATTCATTCATGTTGTAGCATGTGTCAGAATTTCTTTTCTTTTTAAGGCTAAATAACATTCCATCGCATGACTCTACACCACATTCTGTTACTCCATTTGTCTGTCGGCAGACACTTGGGTCGCTGCTGCCTTTTGGCTATTGTGAATAATGCTGCTAAGAACATGGGTGTACAGATATTTCTCTGGGACCCTGGTTTTATTTTGGGGGTACATACCTAGCAGTGGAATTGCTGGATCACATGGTAATTCTATTGCAATTTTTTAAGGACCCACCATACTGTTTTCCATAGCCACTGCACCATCTTGCATTCCCAAGAACGTACAAAGGTTTCAGTTTCTCCACACCCTTGCCAATGCTTGTTATGTTCTGTTTTTTTGTTTTTGTTTCTTTGATGGTAGCCATCCTAATGGGTGTGAGATGGTCCTTATGGTCCTACTTCATGTTTCCTGGTGAGTAATGTTGTTAAATGCCATTTCAGTTACTTCTTGGCATTTGGATACCTTTTGGTGAAATTCCTGTTAAAATCTTTTGTCTTTTTCTTTGTTCTTTGTCAGACTTCTTTTATCTTCTGCACATGAGTCCTTTGTTGGATGTATGTATTGCAGATTTTTTCTCCCAATCTGGCTTTTCTTCTCATTGTCTTCATGGTATTTTTTTTGATGATTTTTAATAATCCATTTTTTTTATGTCTATTGCTTTCTGTGTTCTTTGCATGAAATCTTTGACCCCTTTGGGGTTATTTTTTAAAAAAAACCTTCCCTTTTAGTTAACTGAGAATATATAAAGGCAATCAGTTTGGATGCAGGAAATTAACCAGAAGTGTATTTCCAAAAAAGCACCCTAAAGATGAAAGTTAGTGATGTTCTTTGCTGCAGCAGGTGCCAGGAGGGGTTTGGAAAAAAGTGTGTTTTTCAATAAAATACATGGACACAGATGCTCTGACTCTAGTGGCTCCTGTTGCCTTCTCCTCCCCCCAGTTATGACCTCAGGGTCCCTCTAAAGTGGGAGGAACCCTAGGGAAGAGCCCAGTGGATGATGACTTGGCCAGAGGAAAGAGTGTGGCAAAATGGATGGTCTCCAATTTTTCCTTAATTGTCATCCAGACTTTCTGAATGATCCTTCTCTGCCTCTCTTCCATCCCCAAAGGAGGGTTGACCCTTGTTTGTTGCTACTTCTTTCCTTTGCCTCTGAAATATCTGCTGCTTTCTCGTCTCCATCTGCATCTTTCCCCTGAATGCCTCGTGTCCACGTTTGCTCTTGTCTTGAGCTGTCCCTCTCCCCCTGCCCTGTGTCCTGAAGATTCCCCAGGTCTTAGATCTCCTGCTCCCACCACCCATCCCTCAATGCAAGGTCCAGGTCATGTTCTTACTTGCCTCTTAATCATCTCCCACTAGATACCCCGGCAACTTTATAAAAGATATCCATTTTTTCCTTTCCAGTCTGCTGTTCTGCTGTTACGCCTTCATTAATATATTTGCTATTCATCTAGGATCCCAAAGTAGAAATCTTGGCACTGCCCCCGATCCTCCCATGCAACTTCTATCACCCTCATAGCCCAGATTTAGTTGGTTGTCAAGGCTGCTGGGTCCTTCTTCTGTCTCTGAAACATCATTCAAAGGCATCTTCTCTATATTTGCTACCTCGTGGTTCAGGTCCCCCATGGGCTTGTAATAATAGCCTCCCAATTGATCTCCCCGATTCTTCCTCTCACCTCTAATCCTCCACCTGTCATCAGCTTTCTTTTCCTAAAAGACAGATTTAATCATGTCATTTCCTCCTAAAAAATGATTTGTAGCTCTGCACGCCCCCGAGAGGCATTCAAATCCCGTCACCTGATTTACAGTATGACACCCTTCATTATTTGCCTTCAACCTGCTTCTCCGGCTCTGTCATCGGCCGTTTCCTCCCCGCAAGCCATCTGTCTTAAACTATTTTCCATTCCTAGAACATTCCTTGAGTTCTTTCCTGCGTCTGTGCTTTGGCACACACTGCTGCTTCTACTTCGATGTCTGTTCCTGTCCACTGGTGACTTCCCAGTTTTTTCCCTTTAAAGCCAGCTCACACGTGACCTCTTCTTTCGAGCAAGCCTTCTTTTCCTCGAAGTCGACCCTGTTATTCATACTTCCTTCGGTGCAGTTAGAGGCATGATTCCGTAATTGCAGGCACTAGCGCATATTAATCCTTATACCCCCAGAACACTGCTGCGGATATGGAAGGCATTTAACAAATGTTCACTAAATAAATAATTCATGAAGAAGCTTAACAAAGCACCGCAATATTGGTTCGGTTAGTGGTTTAAAACAACCAGCATTTAGTTTGCTCTTGACTCTGTGGGTTGGCAGTTTGGACAGGACTCAGCTGGACACTTCTTTGGATCTGGGCACGTTTTTTTTTGCTGGGTGAGTTGGGGGATGGCTCCTTCGGGGTGGCCTCAGCTCCTCTCCACATGATTTCTCAGCTTTAACCAGGCTAGCCTGGACTTGTTAACACTG